ATGGCAGCGATCGCACTGATAAGGCTTTTCTCCGCTGTGCACCCTCTTGTGCCTGTCCAGGTGGTAACGCTGAATGAACCGCATATCACAAGCATCACACGCAAATGGCTTTTCCCCTGGAAAACAAAACAAAGCCCACACACGGGGAAAATGAATTTAATCATCGCTGATTTCACACGCACTTCACAAAAGACATCTAAATCTTCCGTTCTCTGTCAACATGATCCACACTGCGTCAGTAATGTCGAGGCCAATCCGAGACTGACAGTGTTGCATTGTGCGTTTTTCTATCCAGGTATGCTTTTACTGCATTGGCTGTCAGTTTGGGATTATTGAAGCCACTACCAATGAGATCATTTTAAGATGGTACTGTAATCTGATGTTACTTCTCTGCTTTCAAAATTCCATCAATTTTAAGAAAATCTGCAACAGCAGTGACGGAAACGCAGCCCCAAACCATGACAGAGCCCCCACTGTGTGTTAAAGATAGCTTCAGACACTCTGTTGACCTCTGTTTTGACCTACTCTGTACATACTGATGACAATTTGAAACAACAATTTCAAATATGGATTAACTTACTCCATAAGTCCTGTTGCCTCTGATTTTCAGTGTAGTTCTTGTTTGATTTGTCACACCACAGCATTTTCTCTCCATTTGCCCTCCTAAAGAATCTAATCTCGACACCCAGCCTTCCACCAATTTCACTTCTTGTTCAGCAAACAGTTCAGAGAAGGTTCAGATGCATCTGTCGGGTCCTGTGTCAGGTCTTTGCTGGATTTATCTTCCATTTTCTTCATGAAATGACTTTCAAACACTGTTCATATGCTACAGACAGATTTTTAGGACTACCATCTTTCGTTTTCCACTTTTTCAGTTTCCTCATTTTTTTCAGTAAATAGACTTTTTGGGAAAGACCTGTTTGTTATTACTGGCCTTTTTTAATAGATTCAACTGAAGAAATGGGAACAAATGACATGATTTTAAAGACACTATTTAAATTGGTTCTTTCCTAAGCTGTCTGTTATGTGTAGACATGACAGGGGTTTATTCTTGAGCTAGATGCCCTTTTCATGCTTTAATCATTCATACTCAGTCTTATGTGGCTTAACAAAAGAAAAAAAAAAACACTCCTCTGAAAATCAACTATGAGGACTATACTGAAAATGAGTGAAAAGGCATCGATGTCCAAAGAAAAACTTGGAATGGCTGGAGAACTACTGCTCCGCCTTCTATAGCCCATTGTAAAAGATTATAACAAAATGTGGCTCCTCAGAAGCAAGTTATAAAGAAAATGATGGAAGGATTTTTTGCACATTACTTTAGTATGAGTCTTATAATTGAGTTACAAATTAGGACCAATGCAGAACTCAGATCAACACACAAACTGAGAAGAAGAAACGTGGAAAAGACACATTTTACAAACTTGTCAACCAACCTCTGAAAATGCATCAAAACAGGTTAAGGGAGCAAATACTAAACATAAAGGTAGCTGGTGGGTATTTTTAAGCTTATTCTGAGCAGATGGGCTATGAGGAAACATCCTCACAAAGACTTACCTAGTTGACATACAAAAAAACATAAAATAAATTAAAAAAAAGTCCTATTGAAGTAAAGAGCTGAGGGTAAGTTCTCACCTGTGTGTGTAAGAATATGCCTCTTGAGGTGGTAGCTGCTCCGGAAAGCTCCGTAGCAATGATCACAGATGAAGTTCTTCTGGACTTTCAATGAGCTGTCGTCATCCATATCAACTGATGGAACTAAATGCTGTAAACGTGAAGAGAATTAGATGAAATTAACTTAAGAAAAACAGTCTTTTCACTTTCTAATCTCAGTATAATTTTAACCTTTCTTTACCTCCACTTTTACTTTGTTGGCTAAACCGGATTTTTTGTGTTTCTTCTTGGGCTGCATATTCTGGTTTGCCTGCATGCCCTTTCCCTCAATTATCCTTGATGTGTGATAATCTCCATCTTTCCGGATGAGCTTTTGAAAGATGAAAAAGGCTTCTGTTAAATGCTGCTTTGCAACCTGTGTACATTTGTCAACCAACGACTTAAATTGGCTTATAAAAGCAAAACTGTGGAATAACTTTAGCAGACTTAAAGTGAGTTATTTCTCCATGCAAAATAAAGAAGCATCTCTCACCAGGGGTGGGCAGCTCCCAGTTGATGGATGGCCCATGTGGCTGTGATGTGGCTGTCCATGGTGCACTTGGTGGCTGTGGTGGTTCTGGCTATGCTGCGAGTGGGTTTGGTGGCTTTCAGGACTGGTCCTTTGCCCCTGACCCAAGGGTGACATCATCTTCTTTTGGCCTGGGATGTTGTTGGCTTGCATTAGGGCCATGCTGGACAGCACTGCCTCGCAGCCCAGCAACCCAGCCTGACAATACAAGCAAAATGTAGTTTTGAAAAAGAGGAGATTGCAGGACTCCTCACGCAGCGAGGCATCAGAAGGAAGGAGAGGGGGACTGAACAATGGGAGTAACATGCATACGATAAAACCATGATCGTGATCTTGAGATGAAGAGACTTCCACTGACCCATTTCATATGGTCTCGAACAGAATTGCTGGAATGGTGTGTCATCGCCGTGCTTTGAATGCGTGTGTGTTTGTGGGGACAGAGGGGCTTCACTCGGGATGAGGGGTGACAGATGAGACTACACCCTCCAAAATCATCAGGGGCAAAAGTCTGAAAATAAAGGCATATGCATATATGACTAAAAATCTATGTGCAGCTTTAATATGTGCTGTCGATCAGACAGGAAAGCACCAGTTGCTTGGTACATGGCTGACAGAAAACACAACAATAAAAGGTAAAATGAGAAAAATGATGGAAATGAGGAAAAACATGTTATGCACAATGCATCTGTGTAAATAATACATTAACCAAACAAACCCTTAATAGCCGGTAGTTGAATATAGAAGGGATGCTTCTTTTTAAATGGTTTGCAATGCACTTTAGTCCAAGTGTAATGAAACACACACCTGTATCTACCTCATACAGCTGCAGTAATAAAAAAAAATCCTAAATGAAGCTTGGTTCCCAGCAGGAATTTGTTTGAAAGTCTTTTTCATGCACATGACAGCAAAAATAAATCTGCACTCTTATCAAAGCATGTTCTGTAGCACGAGCCAGAGAAAATTAGAAATCACATTACAAACACGTTAAATCAGTGTGGATTTTTAAATAATTACATTCATCAAAATATGTTTAAATCTGATTAAATCTGTTTGTGAGAAATAATATCAGCTGATGTTTTAAAATGAATTTTAAAATAACAAAATATAAGTATTAGTCTTGAAAACCCTACACACAAATGTGGCTATTAAATCAAATCAAAATCAAATCAAATCACTTTTATTGTCACATCACATGTGCAGCTACACTGGTACAGTACATGTGAGTGAAATTCTTGTGTGCGAGCTTCACAAGCAACAGAGTTGTGCAAAAATACAATAACGTAAAACAAGCAAAATATAAGAATGGCTAAATCTGAGACTAATAAATATATGTACGATATATAATAGTATATGCATTACTGATTACAAAGGATATGAATGACGCTGCTTCTGTCATACATGTAAAGGCCAGAAATACTGTAAAAACCAAGCTACTAGGTGGTCGGTATAGCTCATTGGGTTGAGGGGGGGTATATGTATATGCAGTGGCTTAGGTTCCAGTCTGCTGTCCTGCTCTCTTACCCTCCTTTCTTGTCTGTTCAACCTGCATCTAATACTCATGTATTAGATAATAAAATACATACAGCAGTTTCGCAGTCAGGTTAAAAGCTGGTGCTAGAAGCACTTAAATGATGAATGCATACAAACATGCACGATTACTGCATGATCTATTATGTTAATGTAAAGGGGGCTCTTTCGACGACCCAAACCCACCCATACTGAAAACTCCTTAATGCGGACAGAGATTTTTATTTTAATTGATCCAACCACATCTATTATTGGAAAACGCTTTGTTTTACGATTCATTTGTAAGCTGGTGGGTTTATTCTCTAATCGATCTTACAAAGATCAAACAGTTAGCTGCAGTTAGCTAGCAACGTATCCCAGCTTTTTTTAGGGGGGGGGGGAGAGAAAGTAAGAGAGGTTTATTTTTCCGCTGGGGTCACGGGACAGACAGCTTTGTGTATTTCCGCGGGGGTCTGTATGAAAGTGTGCCGCACGCTGAGTCCCCGCTGAATGAAACGAAAGCAGAAAGCAGCTAGCCAGCCCGGAGTTGGATTTTGGGACAACTCTTGTGTGAGTGAGCGCCCACCCCACCCCCCGCCCCGGACAGCACAACAACAGGCAGGGCGTGCAGGCTCCGCGCCGACCTCAAAATAACGCCGCCCTCGCGAGCTACAACTGCTCCAAACACACGAGCACCAGAAATAAAACGTGTACAGAGCCGCGAGTGACGCGCCGCATACTCGACCGCTTACCTTTCGCTTTTCACAGTGCTGAAGATTAATATTTCTTGTCGCACTTCCAATTTTTTCTCAGTTTACAAACACTGACAGGAAACACCACCGGAAGTGCTCCCCGGGGAGAGTCCTGATTGGTCGTACGCCAAGACACGTGACCGAAGCGGACTGACCCAGATTTGCGGCCATAACTGTAAGGTGTGCTGCAGAAGTTTTGTTTAAAGGCTTTGTGTCTGGCAGACTTTATAAATATTACATTTTGACTGAGAATACTATTTCTACACAAAGAAAGTATTTTTTTTCTTAAACCTAACCAAATAATTAAATAATTAATCCATTACAAGACCAAAAGCAGGTTCTCAGAGGTGACGATTTGTTTTATTGTTTGTTTTACATTACACTTACAGAAAGACATTGTGATCCTGAACTGCTTTTCTGAGTAAAAAAACAAACAAAAAAAAAAACCCCAATCACTTTTCTTGGAATCAATTAAAATAAAAAATCAGTAATTAGTTAGGTATAAAATTTCTCTAAAATTTCTGTAACTGTGAGACATCTGCTGCTGCCTATCTTGGCCAGGTCTCCCTTGAAAAAGAGGTTTTTAATCTCAATGGGATCTTCCTGGTTAAATAAAGGTTAATAAATAAAATAAAATGTAAAGGGTAGGCATTCTCCAAAAATGTTTTAAACTCCTTTACAATAAAGAACATGGTCATATAAAGTTTGTAATACCAAGTAACCTTTATTTATTTATTTATTTAACAGCTGTTGGAATCTTGGAAATCAGATATTGAAATTAACACAATTTGACTTGTTTGTTGTTATTTGTAAAATTACAATGACCAGCATTAAACGCACAATCACATTTTCTGAAGGGCAAGGTGTTCACTTATGGGCTTTGTCACAGGTCCTTTCCTAGTCTTTCAATTTCATCAAGGAAGAAGTCCATGTCTTTCTGGGACAGTAGGGGAGAGAATACAGTCGCACGGAAAAAGTTGACCTTGTTTCCCAAAGGCTGGTAGCCGACCATCATAGTGCCTTGCTTCATCATACGTTCCTTGATGACAGGAGCTACCTTTTAGCAAGAAAACAATACACAGAATTAACTGTACGTTTCAGATAATGGGGGTTTCTTTGGTTTTTCAAAAGCACACTACAAAAAATGAAGATGCCACATCTAAGTACATGTCAATATGTGTGCAACGGAAGGAATAAAATATCTCAAATGTGGCGGCTTATTCTTATTCAGCAACAGACAAACTTACTTTTGCCAGTTTCTCCTGGTAATCTTCAGTTCCTTCCTTCCCTCTCAAACTCGGTGGTATGAACCAGAAGCAGACATTCACAAACTCTGGCTGTCCGCAGAGACAAATGCAAGCATGGTAATGAAATTTTGCAGGTAAAAAACTCAGGTATGCTTTATGAAAAATGCATGAAATTACCATGCTCAAAAGCTGGAACCCCTCTCTTTTCTTCATCTGCTCCACCAGATATCTGCAAGAGAATTTAGCAAAAAACCCAAAAAGTAACCATATTTTTTTTTTAAAAAAAAATCAAATTTCTTATATATTAGACATAATTTATTAGTTAGTGAAAACCAAGAGAAAGACAACTGGTTTTAAGGGGTCTTAACTGGATGTGTAAGGCTGATCTTCTGTTAGAATGAGACAAATCTGACTTCACGACTTTACTTGAAGCTGTGCCACATCCTTTATTTACCTTGCATGAATAAAAGCCTTGTCTACACGCTCTTCTAAGCCCACGGAGCCAACAGCTTTCCACATCAACCACAGCTTCAGACAGTCCACCTTGCGGCTGCACTGCACAGACTTATCCCCAATGTCCAGGTTCACATCGTAGAACTTATCTTGCTGGAAGAGGTATGTGGCATTGGCACTGTGGCACTGCTTCAACAAATTCTGGAACAAAGTCAATGATTGTCAAAAAACGTACAAACCCAAACTTTACGATTATTAATTCTGCAGCCTTTAAATTGTGAAGCCAAACCGTGGTGTCCTTCAGGAGTAAAGCAGAACACTGCAGGCCAGCCACCAGCATCTTGTGGGGATTCCATGCTACTGAATTTGCTCTTGTTATACACAGAAACAAACTCTAATCAACATCACAGCCTTACACTGTATCTCCACTCACGTAAAAGCTCGTGTACATTTTAATACCTGTCAACTCCTTTCATCAGATGTCGGTGTTTCTTAGAAAAAAGCACGCTCCCTCCCCAGCAAGCCTGACAAAACAAAGGATAAAAGATTCTCACAAGGTTCACAAAACCAAGTCTCGTTCACACACATCAGTCTTCCACAAGTGCACTCACATCTACATGCATCCACAGCTTGTGTTTATCACAAATATCAGCTATGTGATCCAGCGGGTCAAACACACCCTGCACTGTGGTCCCTGATATGCAGCTTACGAGAAATGGCACTGCACCCTAATGGAAAACACACAAAAATACAATTAAAGTCAGGAGATGATGACTAAAAGCTACATGTTAAATTCGACGAAAACTAGCCAAACATCAGCAAATCTACCTGAGATTTGGACAGCTCTATTTTTTCATCCAGATCCTCTGGAATCAGACGACCTCTGCAGCACAAGAGGCAGCGTTTAATTAGATGAAAGGTATTATTTTTACTCGGCACAACTCCAGGTTACAATAGATCAAGGTGTAACAATTATTTCAATACAGAACATTATGATTTACAGCCCCAATCAAAAGTTTAAGATCACTTGAAAAATGGCAACTCTGGTGTGCCTGAAAACAGCCCGTTTCATTTTAAGCGTTGTTTTCAATATTCTGAAATTGCTTTTTGTCTCACTCCCATTTCTTCTTGTTGCATTTTGAAGCTCTACTTGGAACCTTGTTAAAATCCGACCATGCAAAATATGATTTTTTTTTGCCATTTTTCTAGTGTTCTTAAACTTTTTATATATTGAATAATTATTGAGTCTATATAAAAGGTCATATAACATCTGCAAGTTGAGTTTTATGAGCATTCGTTTTGCAATTGTATAAATTAGGGACAGAAGAAAATTCAATTTCTTTTATGCTCAATAACTTCTTCCAGCAGGCAACTGATAACTAACAAGTCATCCAAATCATCCAAGATGGCGGCGCACACGGACGCAGCGGCTTCAGCCTCTCCAATTACGCGTTTTTCTTTCTGCAAAGCAAAACTTACCTACAGTCATCTGGAATTATGCAACATCGGCTATAACAGCCAGATCCCCGTTACCAGCGACTATCAGAGGATCAACAACATCCCCCCGGAGATAGCGAGAACACCGGGCGCTCCGTGGATTGTTATCGGCTCTGCCAAGCAACCCAGGCGGCGGACAGGACGCAAAAGAAAGCGGGGCTGCCGGTCAGGCGTGCTGGCCAGGCTAAAGAAGCAGCCTTTTAAACCACCGCTTCCAAGCATCTTCCTGACCAACGCACGCTCGGTCGTCGACAAAACAGACGAGCTGAACCTACTTCTCCCCGCACAGCCACTCGTCCGCGACTGTTGTGCCTTGGTCGTCACAGAAACGTGGCCACAAGAGGAAAATCCCGACGCCTCGATGCAACTAGCGGGCCGCACAATGCACCGCAGCGACGGAAAGGCTGCAGCAGGTAAAAGCAGAGGTGGAGGTTTGTGCATCTACACACATAACAACTGGTGCACAAACACCAAGATAATCTCCACAGTCTGCTCCCCGGACATAGAGACAATGTCGGTCGTGTGCAGACCCTTTTACTTGCCCAGAGAGCTGCCTGTCGTGCTAATCACAGCAGTCTACATACCAACAAACGCTGATGTTAGCTCGGCCCTTGCCCACCTGCACAACTCGATCTCTGAACAGCAACGGAGATATCCAGAGGGAGTACACATCATCGCAGGGGATTTCAACAAAGTGTGCTTAACCACCGTGCTGCCTG